AGTGTACCGCGTTGGCGATTCTACTATACATTTAGTGCAGCAAAAGTGGCAACCACGACATGATACCTAAATCGTAATAATAAACACAATTAAAGACCCCAAACAAATGCTCAATTGAAAGCACTCACCGAAATTAACAATACGTGAGAACGTCGACAACAAACGAGTAGCCTTACAAAGCAGTAAGCATAGATAAATATGCACATTGTATTACATAATTATGCCAGCACAGCCACTCTCGCTCCTGTAGCGGGCTGTGGGCAGCCCGGCTGCTGCACCGAGCACCCACCTGGTGGAGGTGCTCCTGTAGCCGGCCCTGGAAGATGGTCAACACAAAGCGGCCCATCACCTGGGCCGGGTTGTGGAACACATAGTGGATAAGCGCCTCGTTCCTCTCACACACGGGAACGATCTCTCGGAAAATGTCCCGGCTGACAAACATGCCCTGAAACAGCAGAGCCGATGGTCAGAAACATGCAAACAGTTGCTGAATACACCAGCAGCCTTTAGTGCAATGCATGTTGACTAAGAGCAATCAGTTTCGGTTTGCATTCTGCTGCCTTATCGTGTCGGGTTGGTTAGCGAAAACAGACGGTAATGATCCGTTATAATGTCGGAGGAGTTGTCAACATGCTGACAGCGTCCGCAGACGATCCCGATAAGCACTTACCATCTGACTCTGTTCGATAAAGGCGTCCACGCACTGCGAGAAGCCCTTGAACTGGGCCACCACGGCCGCCACCTCCTTCATGGCGTCACGGTCGTCCCGCTTCTGGGCCGAGACGAACCGCTCTATCAGCCGCCGCTCCACGGCGTCATACTTCTGACTGATCCGGGCGCGGGCGCCCTCGAACCTACCGACAACGAAAACATTCCATCAGCTAAGGGCTTCTTATTATAGGGGGTATGAGCTGGACTTTTGCAGGAAGGGTGAAGTTTTCCTTCGAGTCAGCAGAAAGAATGAGTGAGTGAGTACGTGGGTGAGAGATGAGCTTAAAAGAAATAAATGTATAAAAAGACTTGCAGGCGCTGGTTTTCAAATCACATGAGGTACTATCAAAAGCTAATGATCACTGTTCCATGTTCACTTACTTTGCCGATGGTAGCTCTTGGGATATCAGGTACAACTTCTGTATGACATCTGCCGCTTCAAAAATCTGGGAACGTCACAGGCTTCAAATTAGTGCTGTTTAAATATAAAAATAGATCTAATCATCATCAATAACAATACCAATCAAAAAGATCAAATAACACCTCGGTTTTACGATATGAGCCAGGAACATATTGTATGCGTATTAAGAAAAAAAACACGGTAAAAAAGAATGTGAAGCAAAATATCAGATTTACATCGCTCGGCGGCGCCACCCACCCGGTCCTTATCGTCGAACAGCTCGTCAGAGGGCGCCTCGGCGTCGATGAAGCGGTTGAGGTGCTGCATCAGTCGGAGGGCGCGCTCGTCGCGCGAGCGGGGTGTGTTGACGCTCTCCAGCTGGTCGCCCAGGTGCACCACCTTGGTGGCAACGAAGCTAATCTTTTCGTCCAGCTGGTGCAGAATGCTGAAGTCCTCCTGGATTCGAGGACTCAAGATGTGTTACCTTTCTGTCGTATTTGATCAACACAACACAACAGTTTTGATGCCGTAGCGGGCGTGTTACGTTACCGGGAAACACGCGTTATCCAGGTCAGTGAACGAGGTGAGCTGATGGCCAAACGATTACCTATCCCCCGCTTGACGATCGCGGGTCGGAGTCGGACACCAGTCGGAGGAGGAGGACGTTCTGTCCAAAAGAGGTCAGACGACCTCCACTGGCCATTCAGCTCCTGGCATGTGAATGAGTGGCTCCTTACCATGCATAAGGTAAGGTGAGCTGCAAACATTGACACTAAACAAAACTAGGGTTTTGATACCTACTGACCTTATTTCTGTCCATAAGTCTGTAGACTCTCTGAGAATATTTAGACTCCTCTTCTGTGAGCTTGGCCTCCAGCTCATCACACTCCCTTTGTTGTTTTCTTTGTATGTCTGTCAACTGTCTGCAACAGAAACACAAGTGGATTGCAAAACACCATTTATAAAACACCATTCATATTTGCAAGAAGCAAATACCACTAGCAAATACCACTGTTAAAACAGAATTGGAATGAGCCAGTCGCCTGGGAAGTGGGAAGTGGACTGTGACAACTCACTACAAACTAACACTACCTAAACTTACTAAAAACGATGCTGTGAGTAATACATAGTTATGACATGTGTGGAACATGCAGGGGAAAACCCATCAAATGAGTATCTTACCTGATGGCAGATGTAAATGCATCATGGATAATTTGTGGGTTGAAATCTTCATTGTCAGATTTCACTGACAATGAGCCATTACTTGCCTTCCAAGCTAACCTTTCTACAAAATCTTCTGCACTAAATGATTCCTGTAAACAGAAAACAGCCATTGCCAATGTCATGTAATACTGATACAGCATGCAAACCATGCAGACATGACATTGGAGTGCTGTCTTAGAAATTTCAAAAGCATATCAAAAGATATTCTGACAAGATAAACATGTTTTTATACCTGCCACTATTACTATTTATCTCTATCAAGAGTGAAAGTTTTTAAAGTCAGTAAAACGCAGTTCACACATGACCGTCAGTCTGTCGGTGTCGGGCCCGTCACCGTCGACCTGACGGCCTGCAGCCTGTCAAACGAAAGTTGAGATTTGGTAGCTCCCATTGGCTGCCATATGTTGTGACAGAAATGGCGCACCATTTTCGAGATGGACACAGATGGGGGAAGGGGATGGGGGAGGATAGAGGCCGAGAAGTTAAAAATATTATTTGAATTACAGAAATAAAATACCACGCTTTTACATTTTTATGTCAAATAATACTGCAATTTTATTTTAATGAAAGACACATCGGTTCGCTGACTTAAATCAGGGAGCGAATCTCAAGATATCGTGCCGTAATAAACACTTGCATCTCAACAAATGGATAGAAAATGATATAAATTATCTTAAAAATGCATTTAAGCATCATGCTGCATGATAACGTTCCTTTTCCTCTTCCTCAAACACGCAGACAGTCAAACCGACGGGCCCGTCACCGTCAAAAGTTGAACATTGCTGAACTTTCCAAAGCGACGGCCGTCAGGTCCGGCGCCGGCGCAGTCAGCTGTTGCCGGCCGTCAAACGCTGCCGGTTCACACATGCCCGTCGACCTGACGGCCGTCGCTCCGTCGGTTTCGGCCGTTTTGACGGTGTCGGGCCCGTCACCGGCAGACCTTACGGGCAAGTGTGAACTGCGTTTAAGAGTACAATACATTCTTGTCAGTCAAAAGGAAAGTCTGCATACAGAAGAAAGCGAAACTGGAATATCAAATATCCTCACCTGCTCCACCTCATCCAGTAGCTTATACATCATCATTTTTGGTGTTATTAATGACCAAATAACTCACTCTGAAAAATGGAAAGTAAGGTGAGACACTAATAAAAAATGACACATTTAAGTAAGCAAGAATGTTGCGAAAAAACATTTAAGATAATTTGGTTGCCAGCCCAGGGAAAAAACAATAAAATGAAAATTGAGGCAATTGGTGTCTTATTAAAAAAAGGCCTGATAATCAATGAGATTAACAACATTAGTAGCTAGGTACCTTTAAGATTATTTCAATTTCCTAATGTTTTGATAGACTATTGCAACATTGACATTGACATCAAGCTTCATAACATGTCCAAATTCATCCAGAATTGTCAAGTCAAGTTCATCATATCATACTATGTGTATTTTTCAATTGCTTGACACTACACCTTTTCAGAAATTAAATTCTGACCGACTGAGGGATTACCCTAAGCTCTCATGCCGTAACTTCGGAACAGAAAACTCACCAGTTCAATCGGAAACCGTTATATAATTGACGCCGAATCAACAAAAAATTAGTCAAACCTAAAACAACGATTTCGCTCAATCTCAATCTTTCCCTTCTTCCTTCACGTATACGATAATAGATAAAAAGTCAACACTTATCGCCGGCCTGGGCGTTACTCATTCTTTGACCCTGTTTCAGCATGTGATGCTACCGATGTTGACGTTCGGTTTCCATAGAAACCTGAGGAGATATTGGCAATTGTATCTACGTTTCTATGGAAACCAAACGCCAAAATTAGTAGCGTAAGAACACTGAAACAGGGCTTTTTGTAACATCTGCGCCGCAAGTACTACCATATAGAGCTACCATATCCCAAGACCTCCCTATCAACCTACAAAAAAACTTTTTTTATCGGTGGAATTCGCCATATGGTGTAATGCCCTAAATGACCCTAAACGTTGATGTCGTATGCGGTTTTCCTTGTTTTTCCCCACCAATAAATGGGCGTAGGAACCTCACGGATGGGAGGGGGGAGGGCGGGCAGCGAAACTTCAATGCTACTTTGTGGGAGCCCCAATACCCCCTGTAAAGCAATTCTTTGCAGTTTTGTGCTATCTCACCATGGATGAAGTATTCCCTGCTTAGTTTTGTACATATTTAAATCAAAAATAAATATTTTGCTTGAAAAGTGGCTGAAAAGTGAGGGGCCATGGCCCCCCGCTCCCTCCCTGTTTCAACGCGACCAAAACAGCGTCCAAAGCTCAAAACTGGCATCCGACGTTTTCCGGTTTTGTAATCTACCTGAAGTGTACAAAAACTTCAGAAAGTTTGCTAATCCATGACAGGTGGCCTTTATCATACTGCACTGCAATACGTACAGAAGCGATCGCGAAGCCCGATGAGAAAATCGATTTCTTTAGATGGAGTAGGCCAAGGCCTCCCACAGCGGCTCAAACGTCCTATCGGCTCCGCCAATGTACATATACAATTCACATCTAATTTCATTTCTAAGACGGGCACAGCACAAAGTCATGTTCACCACTAGCACGAGAGATGAGTAACAGGTGCGATGTAGCAATGCCAAAACACGCAACCTTTGTCAGGCTGCGTCAAACTATCTGGAATGTTAAACACAGTGTAGCCAATAACACGCTAAAATGTATCATCAAAAGACGATTAATCACAACGCATCACATTATTTCATGATCGTGACAATGACAGACTTATGACTATTCTGCTGCCAATATCCAGACCAAGAGGCTTAGCTTCAATATGTATGACATTCATAGAAAAAAACTGCACCCGGTGCACACAAGCAATGCCAAAGGCAGTGAATCACAGGAGTTCTCTCAGCCAGTACGGCCAAGCTCACGTCTCTTCAAACATCGAATGGTCCAGCACCATGTTCACCTTATTGGCTACGTCCTTGCAGCCGACACGGGCGAACACCTGCTCGGAGGTGTCGAAGCGCACCTGTCGCAGCACGTGCTGGACGGCCTCCTCCTGGCCGGTGGACACGCCGCGCCGTCGCAGCTCGTCCAGCACACACAGCCGCACGTGCTGCCTCTCCAGCGGCAGGAACGGCAGGTACAGGTCCACCAGAGCTGCCGAGACGATGTCCGACTTGTACAGGCCGCCGGTCTCGCTGAACGCCCTCTTCTCCATCACCGGCTGGAAGGCGGCGATGGTCACCTGATCGCGGGCCACGCCGTCACGCCACTGCTGCAGCATGAACGCGTTGATGGCGAGGCCGCCCGTGTTGCTGAGCAGTATGAAGATGGCGCCGGCCACGTCGACGCCGTGCAGACTGCCGTGGAAGTCCATCAGGGAACGGATGCCCGATAGCACGCCCGGCGGCATCTTGTCCACCTCGTCAAATATAAAGAGGCTGCGCTCGCACCGCGTCAGATTTCCGAGCACGGCGCGGCGCAGGGTGTCAGAGTACCGCTGGATGCTCTCCTCGTCCGAGTACGGAAAGTCCAGGCTGCCCACGTACAGGTGCACGAACCGACTCTGCATGCCGCGCTGGTACAGGCTCTCGGCCACCACGCGACTCACGTGGTTTTTACCGACACCCGTGGTGCCGTGCATGCTGATAACCAGCGGTTTGCGCGGCCGTTGGTCGTGTAGGTGGTTGCTGATCACGCGCGGTATCACTTCGGCCACCAGGTGTTGGCCGTGCACCACCTCGCGCAGACGGTCCCCGAGGTACGGCACCGAGCGCCGAATGTACGGCTCGTCACAGCACTCGCGCATGGTGCACTCCACGGCCCTGACGGGCGCCGAGCGCGCCACCTGGCGCACCAGCGCCGTGTCTCGCACCGACTCCCACACGTAGCTGAGTCCGCCGATGGCGCCCACCGCGCCGGCCACCGACCACGGGTCGATGGCGGCCGACGGACCGACCGCAGCGACCAGCAGCGTCAGCAGGCCGGGCAGCGCCCAGCCGCGCCGCCGCATGGTCCAGCGCTCTGCAGACCAGCGGCGTTCGGTGGCTCAGCAGACCCTGAAACAATGCCAGCCTCATGTCAGACAAATGTTAAAGTGATATGCCTAAAAAATGTCAGCTGTGTAACTGGTGAAGTGTAAGCAAATTCGCTAACATAGCAGGAGGGATTCACTTTTAATTTTTCATTGGATAGATAGGTATAGGTATAGCCCGAGGTATATAGATAATGGACTTTGGGTAGCAGTATGCTATTTGTTGTCCATGTCATTATTGGCTAGGAAATATGTAAGGGTACTCAGTGAGGTTGGAGGTCACAGGTCACAGTTGGCTTTGAGCTGGAGGTGCTTATCTAGCAATTAGCCTTAAATGAAGCAGTGGTGTCAGCAGACACATGGTAGCTTGTTCCAGTCATTAGACACCCTCTGTGAGAAGAACCTTTGTCTGGCTTAATGGACTGACTGCTCCTTGTGTAATTTTGTACTTAGGGCCTTGTGTAATTTCATATGGTGACCTCTTGTGTTTGTCGTCCTCAGTTTGAAAAACTTCTCTCTGTTCACATTGAGCTTCCCTCAGACCCTGACATGCTCTTATAGGTCTCAATCAAGTCACCTCTTTTTATCCTGCCTTATGGTCTTCAAGACTTTTAGTCTGTCTTGGTATGACCTGTGCTTTAACCCCCTCACCAATCTTGTAGCTCTGTGCTGGATGTTTCCTAGCTTTCTGGATTCTTTCTAGATCCTAGAACAATTGTTGTTTAGAAAAAATTACATAATATATGAATAAAATAAAATGGCATCATGAATAAATATCTAATCAAGCAGATTGACCAGACCATAATCTGTGTCAACTGTCAACCAGGACTAAAAAGTTTGTTAATGCCACCAGATATTGGCACTCAGGTTCCACAGACTGAGACAAATAGCCATACTTCAAAGAACCTAGCACCAGTTAAAAGCAGCGTTGAGTATAGGGGAAGGTGAAACCCAAAACCATGTCAAAATAGTGTAATCCACAAAAGAATGAGCTACCTTTAACCTACTGCCTATATTCAGTTACAATATTCATGGGCATTGGGCACTGCTTATAATTTGTTGTTCAAACCTTACCTAGAATATAAGGTAAAGTTTGAACAACAAATTATAATCAGTGCCCCTAAAAATATTTTGTAACTGAATATAGGCAGTAGGTAGCTCATTTAGTAGCTACAGTAGTAGCATCAAAACAGGACTTAAAGGGACTATCCCACCTTCTAAAATGTTGTTAAAACCAGTTAAATTGTGCCCAACTTTATAGATTGGATGACCAGGAACACGGTTCTGGCATTTATTTTTCATTAAACATCTTAGGCTTCCCATATTCCAAACACAAACTTTCAAATATGTGATGTCACAGCCCAAAATTACCTCCTTCCCCAGGCCACATTTCTGTCATAAAGCTGATTCTTTTTACTCTGTAGGCACCACAACAAAGTTCAGACCAAGTTTTAAACGATTTTTCAACAAACAAACCCATTTAAATCAGAATGACTTAACGAGGTGACGTCACACCAACGGTCGCTCCATGTTGAAGATAGGGCCTTGTACAAGGCCCATTTTCAAATGAAGGGAACAAATTTCTTCAACACCAAGAGGCCGTGGGGGTTGCAACCTAGATAGATAGTGGTTTCTGAACCTCGCCACAAACTTGGCTATCTCAACTCAAACCCCATGTTAAAGGTGGGATAGTCCCTTTAACTTTTGAATATGAAAGAATTCTGCCTCTGGTGACGAATCTAGTGACTTTTCCCAAACCGGTGGCAGCATGTGAGATGCTTGCTATAAGAATACCCATATCTTACTCAGTCTATGTTCAGCCCAGTCTGCAATACGTGGCAGAGTTTGACATGTTCTTGCCCGGGTCGACTCTGCGGGGCAGGGAGGAAGCGTCACAAAGAGTCAGCTGGACAAAGATTTGTCCTTGAATTGCTTGAAACTATTCTGTAGTCACTCAGTGTATTAGTCAAAAGTTAGAACACATTGCATTGAAACTAGGGATCGGACGCTAGGGCCTTAGGGCTGTGCGCCCGAATCCACCAACAACTTGAATGGAAGCCACCAAAGCACACTAGACCTCTTGATGCCAGAAACCATTTTAATTTGATCTTCAGATACCAGTTGGGCAAACTAGACCTTTGGAATCAAAATATGGAGGCATCAAAAGATTGATTCCTTATGACCATATTTGGGCATAAATGCAGACCATTTCTAAATCACCAATCATATAAAAATAAGAGAGTGTTTAAAGAAGGAGCATGCCTGATCTTGAACAGAAATGCTGGAACTATCTCCTAAGCAAAATAATATTGCTCCTTTCATAACAATTTGAATTCTATAGGTAGTGAAAGGCAATCAAGGAATGGATTCACTTTAAACAGATAATCATAATATTGATTCCCCATCAGCTGCCTAATCATTATTTTGATTCACAGGTAATGTTAACAGATAGGCAACAATGACTTCCAAGAATACAGCATTTATCTTGCTATTATTCTCATTTAGTGGTATCCTCAGCACCACAACAGATACCTATAGCATTGTTGTACTTTACCTTCACTACATTTGATAACAATTCACAATTTTTAAATGTCAAGACAACATAAACTGAAGCAACAGGTAAAAACCCTATAAATAATATAAAAGCACTACAACAATGATAATTAGGGGTTTATAAATTTCATTTTGCCATTTTACACAAATACTGACTGTTTAGTATGTGATTCATGAAACAAGAATAACATACAGTGTGATTTCCTCAAAACAGCTTTTACGTGATGGACAGTGGCTCTGTCTTTTTCCCATTCACAAGGCGAAAGGGACAATTTCTTAGCTTTGAGGTAACACTTTTTGCAAACCTACCACATTTTTCTACCTTTTTAAAGAAAAATCTCACCGTCATGGGCCTTTTTTCAGCCGTAACGGTACATTTGAATTCAAAAGTGTACCCAAATGAATCAAAAAAATGATTCCATGCCCATATTTGGTCATGGCTCCTCCCACCAGAATCAAATTATTGATGCCTCCATATTTTGATTCCAAAAGTCTAGTTTGCCCAACTGATACTTTGGCTTGATCCATTTGTAGCCTGTAGGGCGTTTTCTGCTACGCGCCCTAACCCAGAACAACAACAACAACTGTAGGGCGTCATCCCAATCGAAACAACGTAATGGCTCATATTCCCAGCATCTTGTTTTTACCCCGGTTGTGCTTTTATTCAACGCAGACATGTAAAATAAATAAAGGTGTAAAATAATGTAAAATAAACTACCTATACATACCTACCAACCAGTGCTACAGTTTTTTTTTTCAGCTGAGCCCGCTTCTCAAAAAACGCCTGCGCCGGATATGTAACAAAAATCATATCAAGGAATTGAAAATATGTGAAAGGAAAAAAACGTCATTTTCTTTGTAAAGTGACGTAAGAATATCAAGAGAGAAAAAGCAAAAAACTTTGATTTATCGTTGCTGATTACCAATAAACAACCTTGATCCAATAAATACAATTAGCAGCAGCCAAGCAAATAGATTTTCCCACAGTGTATATAAATACAGTGTCGGCAAATGAGCCTGGTCACGTGACCGGCGGACTCGTGGTTTTTCGAGGGATCCGCACGTGCGGTTGTGGCGGGGGCACCTCCCGGTAACTGTGGTGCCGACTCGCTCTCGGCCCCCATAGGGATACAATGGGACCTACTTTTTGATTAGCTCTCCTGACTAAACTAGGACGAATTTTTCAAAGATACAACTAGCACCACATGCAGTCGTGTGTAAGCTTTCTAACGGTACCAAAAATATATTTTTATCGGCAAAATTGAATAAGTACAGGCCCATTTTAGGTTCGATTCGTGCTTATGACGGAAGAGAAGCCACCACTAATTATAAATACAACGAACAAGTGTTGAAAACCGGAGTATAAATGCAGTTTTGAATTACATTAAAGCCATTTTCAGTCACTGCAACCGATGAGTGGAAGTGATCGGTGAATTAGGTCACCCGTTACCGTTAGGTATTACTTTTTAACTACCGACCAACAACACCCATAGGTATTGTTCTGATCTATTCCAGACAACAAACTAAGGTTTTGTGTTGAACTGTGCCAGAAAGAGCAGTTAGATCAAATATGGATACGAAGGTAAATAGGACTATACGAGCATCCATGTTGATACGTTTATGCTGGAGCTAGTAGTTGATAGGTGTTCCGTTCTATTGATGCGGGCAAACAACGAATCGGGGTTGTCATGGGCGAATCTATAGGTATAATTGTGTCTTGTATGAAACATGCACGGTATCTGCAAATACTAGAATGCTGCTGCTAAGCTGAAAGAAGGCTCAGCCGGACTTTTATACTATGAACCGGCCATGTTTAGTTTATGCCGGGCTCGAGGGTGCAGTGTTCGTCACGGGCCAGCCAACCCACAGAGCACAGCCCAGCCCAAGCGGGGCCCATGGGCGCCGAACCCAGCCCAGCTCAGGCCCATTGAATTTCACACGCTTTTGAGGCTTTTATGGCGGTCGCCGGAATAGGCAAATGGTAGATCAACTCTTCAAAAATTGTTTCAATATCTACTTCGCTGGGAGGAAATGAGCTTTGATTGTCAAAAAATGCAAAACTTTGCATTTGTTACAGGCACAACATCCGAAATGCAACATGTGCTTACAGTTGTACGCCCGTCCTTAACATGGTTGTCATGAAAGTTGGGGGAGGGGGGAGGCGGCCGCACGTTGAGGGGTCACAGTCCGGTATTTTGACGCCCCCCCCCCCCCTTTACCGCCTGAACGGGAACCTTCACTCCATCCCGTCCTCTGTATTAACCGCCTTTAAGCCCGCCCGATGACCCTGCCGTTTTCAAAGCCAACCTGAGCTGAGCAAGATAATTCGGTGTAAACGTCGACAACTGCAGTGAGTTGTGTGCAGTCCCGGTGTTCCGCTACAACATTATTGCACCTCTCGTTTTCGCCATCATCGACGCCGTGCACTTCCGAAACATGGATGCTCCGGGACAGTTTGAAACAAGTAGATGTCCTACACGGACGCTTTGCACATCCAGTGTCTATACATATTTCCATATTTCAAACAAATCGAGCAGAAAATATTATAACGAAACAGTGGCGTACAGCGTACAGCGTGCAGCGGGGATATCTGAACAATGCACCATACATGACGAAGAGCCAGCAGACCCTGGTGCAGCTCAAGACGGCGGTCGTTGATACCACTCTTGTGCCTGCGCCCAATGCGCGCCAACGTTGGCGGGGGGGGGGGGGGGGGAGCAGTGAGTCATTCAATACGTTGAGCTACTTTGAACATGTTCCATAGCGGCCTGACAGTAGCAAATGTGTGTTGGCTAGCTGCGCAACTGAGTAAATTTTCACACAATTTTACTTCCTTTGATTTGCAAATCCTTTTATCTGGTAAACATGCTTGAAAGTAGAATGATAATGAAGTGATTCAGTTTTTGGAAACGTTTCAGAACAAAACATATTAAAACAATGTCTCATACGTATTATCAGAATAACAACAAAGACCGCCGGCCATCGGTCATGAACACCGTTCACCTGTCACTATCACTGCCAGTGGAAACGCACACACACACGCGCGCACACGGACACACACGTCAGCCGCAGTCAGTTACAGGTAAGCTCCCAGAGGCCTCTCCGACGGCGGCCGGCCGGCTCCCAGAGGCTGCTCCGACAGCGGCTGGCCGTGGCTCCCAGGGACTGCTCCGACGGCGCGGCGGCTGTCGCTACCAGGGGCTGCTCCGACGGCGCCTGGTGCGCCGCTCGCAGATCCTCCTTGGAGTTCTAGCGCGCTGATGGTGGCTGTGTGATCCGCTTTCCCTTTCTGAGCTTGGTGTAGCACAGGCGACCTGCAACCACATCACAAAAACTGAGTTTGTGAATTTGAATCAACTTTGAACTGAACCACAACTATTATGTTTTTTATGAAGATTTACCAAACCAACAATTTCAACTTCCACACTGCGCTGACAGGTATACACATAATACACAAATAAAGGCTAAAACCGTTTTTCCACTTCTTCCACTTGTCATCAATACATTTTGCCCAAGATATGAGTGTGCAACAAGTAATACATATGACTAGCCTGCTGCATCGCTTTGATGGCTTCGTGCAAAATGTAAACCTAAAAATTTCGCTCTTTCTGATTTATGGTACATCACTTTTATGCCAATTTATTAACTTTTTGGAAGGTGGCATTGTCCCTTTAACACAGGCAAGCCCTTGCCGAGCCCGGCATATGCCCGGCCTCCTCGAGCTTAGGCCCGGCAAAAGTCCGGCGGGTCCGATTTTAAGCCCGACACCGGGGCCCTGTTTCACCGGTGATAGCAGCACGATGCTTTTACACGTGTCAAATTGGGTTTCCATGGAGACATGAACAGGCCCATTGCTCCAACACTACCACAAGTGTGACGTCAGCTCGCGCAATTTGATAGCAGCGTGGTAGCAGCGTCCCGTGAAACACCGCCCGGGCCCGTAGGCTCAAGACTTGCATCATTACTATGTATATACTGGTATGGTAAGCAACCTGGCATATGAGTTGGACTCAAACAATGAAGTTAAGTGGCTAGTGCTTACCGGAAATGAGCAATCTGGTACCCGATGTCCCGTTGTACTGGAAGAGTGTTGGGATGCAGCTGCCCTCTTCAAAATGACAGGAACAGAGCTGGGAAGTGCTCCTGGGAACTGCATCTGCACGTCTGTAAATGACAGATGCAACAAATGTAACAACTGGCATACTGTTCTTGCACGTGGACTTTTACATACAAAATGCCTTGTGTTTAGAGGTAAGATATTGACTCAGACAGCACAGCCACAGCTTCTAAACAAGATGGTATCACTGACACTGTATCATGTTATTTTGGCTCCAGAATCCAGAATCAGAAGGTTGACATCCTCACCTAGCAATCAAAATGTAGCTAATTGGCTTTATATCAATGTGAGGTGCTAAGAGTGAACAATTATGATTATTTACAATGCTTCAGAACATGGTCAAACCTTAACTAACCCAACCTACAGTGGTTCGCTAGCAACATTCGTAGCACGTCTTTTTTGTACATAGTAACTGGAATATATGCTAGGTAAGAGTACCTACATCTTTTCTTTTTTTTGTTAAAGAGGTATGCATTTGGCCTGTAGCCTATAACACACCTCTTCAACCAAAAATATTTTCCTTACCCATCCGAACACATCCCTTAGAGCTGCCTGCGGCATTACACTCAACGGATTACCAGGTCAAAGCATTACCTTCATTAGGTAACTTGTGATAAACATGATAAGCTTTTAATGGATTTCATGTTCTCTTTCCTGTAATTAGTTTTATGCAATGGATTTGATTTGTTATGCTCATTATGATCAGCACAAAAATAAAACCTTTATATAAACAATATTTTCTGTATTTTAATAAAAGAAGAACTATATATTGTAAAATTCAAACCCATTGGCTGTTAGCAGCATGCTGATTAGCTGACGATGACATGGCTGCATTCCTCAGCAAATTCCTCAAGAAGGCACTTTTCCAGGACGAGAAATGGAATCTTTGCCTATGGTGATCATTGGGCTGTAAAAGCTCCTGGTTTGTGCTTGTCATTACATAACATTTATTACATTTATCATTACTACATAATGTATTGCATTTATCAATACAGCTAACAAGGACACATCTGGATCTTACCTGACAGCCCTCACCCAAGCGACCCTCATCTTCTCCTCTCTTGTAAACCTCCTAAATGTACCTACATCTTGCAGCGCTGTTGTGGTGGCTGCACCCAGATGCAAAACACCCTGGCATGCTGCTTGCTAACACAAAACTGAATCAGAGTAAGAGCTCTGCAATCTGCAATAAAATACTAGGCAGGTCACAGCAAAATACAAGAGAAAAGATTGCAAATTTGATACAAGCTTAAAATTGTATAAGATTTGGAGCAAGCAGTTTGTTGACGCCATCAAATGTATCAACCGCGCAGTATTTGTCATCAAATTTTGGTGCCGAGTCAAGGTCAAATGTCACGTGACATTTGGCCGACAGTTGGATTTTCCTTTTCTAAATCAAAGGTTGAAATATTTCACAACAGGGTTAATTTGCAAGGTTTTCTTGGATTTTCTCAAATTCTCAAGTGAGAGGCAATATACTTTTGCTGATTGATAAATCTTTATTTTAACCACTTTTTACTAGCTTTAAGCCTTCTAAAAAACCCATCTTTGGATTTCTCTCGATTACACTCATTTTTGCAGCAAATCAATGCCAATGCACTTGTTTTGATGGCGCGTCGGAATCGGCGGTAATTTGAATCTGCGGCGCAATGGGCACAATTTTTGGTTTGTTGTCTGTTGAGCACGCCAGGGTATATAGAACCAAGGCCCTATTATAGAACATAGAACAACACGCGAGGGGTTCAGGTTGTGTGGTGTGGGGATGGGGACTCTATGGACTCTTTTCTTTGCTTTTTGTTAAGAACATATCGTAAAAGGTACTGACAGAGCAGTGATCACTTTAGTACTACTGCAAACAATATTCAGTCATATTGAATATATCTACTATTATAATGGAAAGCTTATTGAATTCAAATTGCAGTTTTGTCATTTTTTCACATTGATTATAAATACCTACTTTTCTTGTTCTTGGTAGTCGGCACATTTCTTATAGGTATCTTGGTCGGCACCGGCCCAAGCCCCTGCTCCGAGCCTGCTTTAACCCTCGCCCGTAAACGGCGATCTGCCACCTTCGCCCATGCAGGGGGGGGGTTGGTGCGACCCCCCCCTTGGCGTTTGAAAACGGAGCGTCGTAGAGCTTAGCGGAAAAGACCAACGGATTGCTCTCGCCGAGATCTCGCGATTGGTGGTATATTTTTTGGTCCTAGGTCAACATTTGACCTACTTTTGACCGGTCAAAGGTCAAATTTTCGGAAAAATAGACTTTTTTCAACTTTCCGCGGCGATTGCGGCAAAACGGTGGGCGATATCGACTTGAAACCTTCACTATCGTGTTCCTTGATCAATTCTCTATCGTTTGGTATGTATTTCGTTTCCCTAGCTCTAAAAATGGCGCGTTGGGAGCGCCGGAAGTCGGCAAGGTCACAGTCGGCGGCAGAAATTCGAAAAATCAAAATTTAAATTTTTGAAATCTGATTGTATTTTTGGATTTGGGAGGTCCATTTGCTCCCTATAGACGCTAATATTGCTGCATATTCCCATTGAGGTGACAAGAATTAGCAAAATAGTGGTTCGGGCGCTTTTCAAAAATAGTACCGGACGCTGTTCCTCTTGTGACGTCATAGCTCCGTGACCTGACCTGACCTGGTCAAGTTTCTTATACCATATGATAGCCAATACTTGCCCCAACATGCATGGGAAGTTTCATCACGATCCATCAACCGATGTCCGTACCACCGGCAGGAAACCTCGGGCGTTGGTACTCAGTTTGTGAAAATCCGGCCGGAGGCTGTTCCCTTTGTGACGTCATAACTCCGTGACCTGACATGACCCGGTCAAATTTTTTCTATCAAAAGATGCGCAAGGTTTGCCCCATAAGGTACCCAAAATTTGGCGGCGCTGCGCGCCGCTGTTTTTGCACTATTTCCGAAAAACCTCAGGGGGGGGGTTGCACCAACCCCCCCCCTACATGGGCGAGGGTTAAGTGATCAAGGTTATGATGTATTGTTTTCCTACTTTTATACATTTGTTATGAACATAATTTGAATTGATGCTTGTGATGAACTCTGTTGTGTCCCACACATTGTTTTGTTACAGCCGCCAATCAATTCCATGTCACCACGCACCATTGACGACCATTGTCACATTCAGGGTAACAGATTGATTGCGCCAACAATTCTGAGCAGTGCCTATTAACCACAACAAATTTTGGTGCATGGATGGACGAAGATATTTTGGCACAAATGGATGATTAATTCTGGTCCAAGATGATGAGGCGTAATCTTAGCGAACATCACTGGCCACTTACTACACTAATAACTCGCTCCGCAAACATAGTATGAAAGTGAAATTTTGGCTACCTGTCCAGAATTGAATTCGTGATCTTCTCTTGCAAGAAATAAGAAAATCGGTTCACAACTTTTCTAGTAATGGCGTTGTAAAGTCAAACATCCTGCCGCGGCGGCTGCCGGCGACGGCCGTTACGCGCCGCTGGATTGTAGACTGTGCCGGGGCGGGACGGTTCCGTCTTTACATCGCGCTCCTTACCGCTGATTATACCTATTCGATTCGCGTCAAATTTTGTGAGAAGACTAAGAATTGTACAGGCAATCTTATGGTAAAATAATTTTGGAAATCGGCAGGTAAAAACTTGAGTTATGTGCGTGTAAACACAAAATTGCGATTGCCGCGTTTCCCGCGTCGGCCGATCCCGCTTCAGCCGGCGACAGCTTATCTTACTCTTAGCAGGCTTCTAACCAGGGCTGCGGAGTCGATGGATTTTAGGGTGACTCCGACTCCGACTCCGGCTTCAAAAATCGACTCCGACTCCAACTCCGACTCCGACTCCGGATGTTTTTTTTTTTTAAATCCATACCATGATATTGAAGTTCATAATGGAGACGTTTTTATCTTGCCTGAAACGATCCCTTGTGCTTTCCAAGGCTTTGCGTTGCAAATAGGCGTTAAAAATAACATGCAGACATGCAGAGTTACGAAGCAAAGCAGGTTCTAAGGAATTCACCGTCTTCTGCTTGTCTCGCTGAAAACGTTCGTTTACAACAGCGAAATGGCCTTTTTTTTCCGACAAAATCTAATTTTGAGCGCAGTATCGTCAATCATATAGGTGCAGTGCATGACGTTGAGCCGCTAGCGTTAACTCGGTAAGATTTTACCGGTAAGATTTTGTAAGAACGGTAGGATTTTGGTGACTCCGACTCCGACTCCGGGCAGAACTGTCGACTCCGACCGACTCCAACTCCGACTCCGACTCCGCAGCCCTGCTTCTAACTGTCATATTCATTGTAAGATTAACTAGAAATTCACCATACATACTCACAATTGTATGTTCTTTGGTGTTGTGAAAGAAAAAGAAAATCGGATGGTAACTTTTTGAGTTATCGGCGTGTAAACGCAAAAAAGTCGCTCATATGGCAGATTTGACCACATTTAACCTCATTTCACCTTGAAGATATTGACCAAGAGTCATGAAATTAACACACAACAGAGTTCCCCAGGGCCCCCACCTACCCACCAAATTTCGTCTTTCTATGTAGCTCCAGTGGAAGCAAAGATCTTAGGAGGGGGGGGGGGGCGACATCCGCCTCCCTTTCCACTGGGCGTAGTACTCGCAACCCTTCCACTGCGCGTGTTAACATGGTTGAAGACACCAGCTAAGGTGACAGATTTACTCTAATCTGCACTTATCAGGCTGGAAGTCTTGACCAGCCAACACCCAACAAAGCGTAGGACTTTTGGTAGGTACATAATGAAATGATTCTGTATTTCTGTTCATGTAGTTGTACCCGTTTGTTGTTTATCTTTTTTTTTGCCACTTGCTGATCCTGTAGTGTCGTTCTCTGCATCTTTTTCCCGGGCAATATCGGCTAGCACAGTGGTTGAGCACAGCAATACAATACTTGGATCTGCTGTTTGCACCATTCCACAAACTTCCTGCTCCAGCTACAACCTGGCACACCGCATTTCACAGTAAATTCGCCTTACACAACACGCAGTCTCATTGCGTCCACAACTCCACACTGACAAGATTTTTGGCATTGTCATTCTTTTATTAGGTATAGCAGTAAGGGATTTGAAGGGGCAACTGGCAGATGCCAAACTTTGTATTCAAAATTTGCCTGTCCCATAGGTAGGTAACTCAGTTGGCAGAGCGTTGGACTCTCAGTAGTCAGGAGTGAACTCGGGTTCGGGTCGCCTCTGCGGCCAGCGCTCGATATTTGAGGCACCTGACAGGGATGGTTGGTGAGAGGCGAGAGCAGCCGCAGCCAGTTGGAGTCAATTGAGTAGGACAGGGTGCATCCTACTTTGACGCCACGCTAAACTTGGACACCTAAATTCTCGCGGTTCAACCCGAAATCGCGTGATCATTCTTGGGGTCGCGGTGTGCGCAACAAGCTCTGCTTAGTGTGGACTCCGACTCTAGCAACTCCTCCATTTACCTAATGGTTCTGTAATCTGTGGTATCTGTAATCGAGCGACATAGTTAGGTTCTCAAACTTAACTTTTCCGCCATGTTTCCGATATCTACCAGCTGAGCTACAGAGCCGACAAGTTAGAGCTGTTATGCAGCTTTACTAACCACAGTCCCCAACCCTGTTGTGGGTTTTCAGTGAACCATGGACGACCTCGACTGGGCGGCCATCACTGGCGAGCCGAGCGAGCCGCTGCTGCGCAGTTCGCTCCTCGATGACTCGCTCCAGCTGCCGCCGGTCAAACCAAAGTACTGGTGGCAGGCCGGCTATGTCAGCGACAATGACGTTGGTGAGTGCTAAGTCGCTATTCCTCTGCATTTCATTATGGACTACAGACTAAGTGGTTCAGGCCGTGTTCTTGTGCTTGTGTCGTGGTGTCGTCATCTGTGTGCACCTTTTTAGATAATGTGTTCAGAACATTGCCATTTTTAAAAAATATGTTAAGGTATTCATTTAGAATTGCGATGTCCATCAAGCTGTATGAATTATAAATCGATTGAAGCGTGTTTTCACGGAAAATCAATTCAATGCATGTTGTGCATTCCCAGTAGGTTGAATGTTTATTGCACACTCGCCTGTATTTTCCCTGTGCTATTGTAGAGCAGCATATGGCTGCTTCCCATGCATCCGTTGATAACGCCCTCGTGCTCCGGCAGTGATCCATTCCGACACGGATGGATCGTTCATGGGACACGCCGCCAAGCCGGCCGCCAAGAGCCAAGTGGACAGCCTGCTCAATGACGGTAAATACGAAGATGTCAACAATCAGCGTTTTGCTGGAGGGCAGAAGCCATATCATTTGGCTGTGGCATACCATAAATTGTCTGTCTAGGATGCTTAGTTATGCTTTCTTCATGGTGGAAAGGTGTTTTGTGAGTACCAGTAGATAATTGCACGTTGTAACATTCTCTATTTCTAATATCTATTTCTAATATCTATTTCCTTATTCTTTTTGCAGTGCTACCTGTAAAATCGGGTAAAAAGGCCGGTAGACCAAAGAAAGCTCCGGTCGAAAAAGCCAACACGACATCAGGAAAGTCAAAATCTGCTCCGAAGGCGGCTACGGCTGCAGCATCTGGAGTTCTTGGTCTGCTGGAGGCCGAGTTTCCACGCCCCGGCGCGTCCACTGCCAATGCCACGGCCGGCAAGAAACCGGCGTCCAAGTCGGTACCGGCCGCCGGCCGGCAGGGGTTTTTCGACAGCGCCGCCCTGGACCGCGACTCGAGCGGCGCCTCGGAGGTGTTTGTCGTGCCTCTGCCTCCCAAGGCGGCCAAGAGGACCAAGAAGACGGCTCCGGTCGCGCGGTCGCCGTCGCCGCCGCCGCCTCCGCCACCGCAGCCGGACCTTTTATCCAACTGCAGGCCGGTGTCGGTAGACCGTATGTCGGTGGATAGCATGGCGTCAGAGGCCATCGTGAAGCCGACGGTGTTCCCAGTGCCCAGAGCGGCGCCGGCGCCGAGCCGCGTCGTGCCGCCCGCCGCCGGTCTGTCGCGGATCATCGACGACGCTGTCCCGCCTGGCAAGCCGCCGGCCGCCGCCAAGCGGGGTAAAAAGCCGGCAGCGGCGCCAGCCGCCGGGCGGGCGAGGAAACGAGCGCCGGTCGTGGCCGATACGTCCGGGGAGGAGCCGACGCCGCGCCCGGCCGCCGCCAGGGGCAAGAAGGCGGCTCGCGGTGGTGCCCGGTCGGCGCTGAGACTGGAGACCTCGCCGGATACGACGGGGGAGGACTGGGAGCCGGCGGCGGCGCGTCGGCCGGCCGCCGGTCGCCGGCGCAGGGCGGCCATACACTCCGAGTCGGAGGACGAGGGCGACGTACTCGACCTAGGGTCGGCGCCGGCGCCCCCGCCCGGTGAGTTCACGTAGAGATGTTAGAGCGCCATGATTGGCCACGCAGGAGGGCGTGTTAATGGCAGTTTGGTAGTGCTATGGAAGATAAAATACTTTACTTTCATGTAACCAATTTATATATTGTTGTTTAATGAGGCTTGGACACACATTTTTGTAATTTTTGGTGATAGCTTTGAAATGCAAGCATGGGTGACAAATCATGTAATCCAGGGTAATATGCTTGGTCGTATGTCAATGGGCCGTCTCTGACCCCCTCTGGTTGCAGCAGGTCGGGCCAGGCCGCAGGGGGCTGCCCGGCTGGTGTACAGGGAAGAGTCGTCTCTGGACCTGAGCAGCAGCCGGGACACGTCGACCCCGGGCGACCTGACCTCGGACGGCGCCGACTCGGAGTACGTGCCCACCCCGGCCGCCGGCCGCCGACCCGCCGCCACTGAGCAGCCAGGTACGGCCAGAGGCACTGTGACGCTGGGCAGGGGCTGGCGTGGGCCCGGCGGGGCAGGAACGGTGGGAACAGGGTGATGACTGTTGAGAATGGTAAAGTAAGGAAGCGTACGCTGCCGTGCAAAGGCAAAAACTACTATGCTGGGTCAAGTCATGTTGGTTCAGATGTTGTTGCAAAAAGATCTGACCCATAGGCAAAAACTACAGGGTTTGGTGTTTGTTTAATTTTTCAAATAAACAAACATAAACAAACTGTTCACGAACAAATGTGTTCGCGAACAAGTGACGTCATCGGTCAAATTTTGGTAAACAAACAACGAACAGTTCGCGAACGTTCATAAACTGTTCGCGAACACGGTAAAGAGGGGGTAGATAAGACCCCCTCCTTAGCCATTTCGCTCCCAATTGAGATAGAACCTCGCGGAAAAAGCCAGCGTGTGCGTCTTTACGAACCACAGCGATTGGTATAAGATTTCAAGGTCTTACACCAACCGGTGACCCCTGAGGTCAGGTCAAGTATCATAAAGTAGGGGTTTGGTTTTTGGTACATAACTTCGCCACAAATGATGGCAGAGCCGCGATTGTGGCACCATCGTGCTCATCGTGGCCAGGCGCTTCGAATGATATGCTTTTTGTTTGGATTAGGTCTTTTTAGTATGTTGACCTCAGGTCAAGGTCAGGTCAAAGCCACTCGGGTCACAAAGCTGCATGGAGGATGTTATGCTGCGTATCATTCGATGTGGCAGTTCTTTCTGGGTCGATTGATGGCTCAACCGACTCGCTAGCTCAATTTGATCGGAAGTTATTAGCGAAAAGCTCCTACTGCACCAAACAACCTTAGTGGCGTCTTATATGACGCCATGCAAGGTCTTAAATGCACAATTTAAGCCTCAGCGTTGGGAGAATAATTATTAATCACGATTACATGTGCTTTAGATATGACTGGTGCATTTTTTTCACATGTAAATCATGTCTGGAGTCATGTCTGCACCGTATGATAGCAGTTGCTCCAAAGATATCAGAAATGATGACTTGTTCATGAACGTTCATGAACGTTCACGAACTGTTCGTGAACAGAGAATCGTTGGTAAACATGTGACCTTGAATGCCAAAATTCGTTAACTATCAAATAAACAAACAAACAAACAAACAAACAAACATTGTTCACGAACTGTTCATGAACAAATATACAAACACCAAACCCTGAAAAACTACTATGCTTGGTCAGGTCATGTTGGGTCAGAAGTTGGGTGACCCAGCGTAGTAGTTTTTGCCTTTGCACGACAGTACGATGCTGCTAGCCGGTTACAACAGGTAAAAGAAGATATGTAGTCGCAGCGCACTTTGTTGCCAATTTTTGTTAAAAGAAGTTTTTCTTGGTTTATGAACTGGAGGATGAATGCGAACCGTGACGCTGTGTGACGTGGTTGCAAGATATCTAACCTTTACGTTACGTATCTTAACGTTGATGTCATTGTTCACGTACATGTTTTGCAACATGTGAAGTCGGTTGAACGATGACATCACGTGCTTTGCCATTTGTCGCATCTCGGTCGCATACGTCGCACCCAGATGGCCCACTTTGCACATACATATGGCCTTGTTGCACCCGTTTTTAGAGCCTTGGTCGCACCCATGTCACCGATGGTAGCAGATGGTAATATCAGGGCCTTAATAAATCTATGAGAGCGCAAGCCTTGCATACGACATACGACTATGTAGTGTATGTACGACTAGAGTAATAGCGTCTCTGCCCATGTAGCGTTCTGACAGTCGTGTCGCGTTTCAGCTGCCCCAGCCGCCGCAGCGGAGGAGCCTTCGTTTGAGATGCCACCATCGCCACCGCCCTCCAATATGTCGCACCTGCCGGACCTGGAGTCCTACAGGGACCCGAAGCCACCGGCCCCGAAAAGGTCGGCAGCGAAACAACGGAAGCCGGCAGCTCCGCCGCCCCGGGAACCCACACCGCCGTCTGTGGAGCCGGTCCAGCCGCCGTCCAGGGATGTGTCTCCGTCTCCAATCCGCAGAAAAGCGACCGCAAACCGCCGCAAACCGGCAGCTCTACCAAAACAGAACGTGCAACCGCCGCCGCCTGAAGAGCCAATCCAGCCGCCGTCCAGGGATGTGTCTCCGTCAACAGTGGGGAAGAAACCGGCCGCAAACCGCCGAAAACCGGCAGCTCTACCAAAACAGAACGTGCAACCGCCGCCGCCGCCTGCGGAGCCGATGCAGTTGCCGTCTAGGGATGCGTCTCCGTCACCAGTGGGGAAGAAAGCGACCGCAAACCGCCGGAAACCGGCAGCTCTACCAAAGCAGAACGCGCGAGCACCACCGCCACCGCCGGTTGCAGAGCCGAATGAACCGTCGTCCAGAGATTCATCTCCGTCAACAGTGGGAAAGAAACCGACGGCAAACCGCAGGAAGCTCACAGCTCCATCGAAGAAGGACGCACAAGCACCACAACAGCCACCGCTGGCCACAGCAGAGCCAACCGATCCGCAGCCTAGAGATCTGTCTCCGTCCCCAGTGGGGAAGAAAGCGGCCGCAAACCGCCGAAAACCGGCAGCTGTACCCAAGAAGGACGTGCCGCCGCCACCGCCGCCAGCCCGGTCGCCATCCCCGCCCGTGTCGGAGCCCGAACCGCCACCAGCCCAGAAACCGGCCTCAAACCGGCGGCGGCCCAAGTCCCCGCCGCCGCGAGAGCCCTCCCCGCCGCCACCCGCGCCTCCGCCAGCCGCTACAGAGGCGGCGGGGGACTTCGTGTTTGCCAAACCGTCAGCGCCGGCCCCGAAGCGTCGGGGGCGCGCTCCGCGCACGAAAGCGCCGGCTGCTGCGGAGCCGAGCACGCCGGCGCCTCAGGAAGCGCCGGTCGCCACGCGTGGCCGCGGGCGTTCACGCAGAGCCGCTGCGACGACCGCCGTGGAGACTGCTCCCGAGCCGGAGCCGGGGCCGAAGGGGGCGGCGCAGCTGGATGTGAGTGTGTCAGGTCGCCGCGCAGGAGGAGCCGCGCAGCCGGCCGCCGGGCTGGATGACAGCGTGCTGAGACGCAGCACTCGCAAACGCCGACCGCCGACTACATTTGAGGCGGGGTGCGATAACAGTGCAAAAAAACCCAGGGGTACGGAGGTGCCGGAACGAAGGGCCGCTCCGTCTCACGTGGATCTGAACGGGAGTATAGTGCTGCGAAGTGCTAAGGCGCGTCAGACAGGCGGCAGCGGGCCGAGTCGTTCGCTGAATGACAGCGTCCTGACGCGCAGCATGAGGAAGCGCCAGCCGCTGCGTCGGACGCCGCCTCCTCCGGCCCGGCGTGACTCGCCGCCGGCGCCCGCCAGTCCGGTGCAGGTGCCCGCTGAGCTGCAGTGGTCGCCGGACGCGGCCACACCCACCACCAGTCGGCGCGGAGCCGGCGCGCTGTCCTCTGACGGCGCGGCTACCTCCGGGGCCACCGCTGCCGCCCCGCCTGCTGCCGCCCCTGGCCCCTCCGCTGCGGCCACCAGAGGCGCCTCCCGCCGGGGCCGGGGCGGGGGCCGGGGCAGGGGCGGAGCCCGAGCGGCAGCCCAGAGGCGACAGGAGACGGATCAGACGACTGCTGCTCCCGAGTCGGAGAGGGAGCCTTTACCGGCCGCCGCGCCAGCCGCTGCGCCGGCTCCTGCACCAGCCAGCGCACCAACCTCAGCTCCGGTCGCAGCACCAGTGTCGGCACCAGTCGCAGCACCAGCCGCGACACCAGTCTTTGCACCACCTGCCGCACCAGTCGCTGCGCCAGCCGCTGTGCCCGCGGCCGCATCAGCCGCCGCCGCTCCTGCGGCCGTGCCGGTGCCAATGCCGTACCAGGTGCCGCCAGGGACGTTCCTGGCACCCATGCCGCAGCAGCCGCCGCCTGCAGCCCTCGTTCAACAGTCGTCGGAAGCGACAGCCGGTGAGTGGCACACCGCCGTGAGTGGCAAAACGCGGGCAGAATACGGGTAGGAAGTCCGAAGGATTCTAGGGACCTTGCATTTTTAACTGTTGTATTTTTACGCAAAAAGAAAGAGATGATGAGCGGTGGCTCTCTAGTGGTACTTTCTTGCAGTTGTTCGTTAGCTGCTGCACTGGGTTTTGTTTTGTTGAATCTTGGAGGTTTGTTGTTCACGCTGAATGTGATAGGCTGACTGACAATCGTTTTAACAACGCTTTTTGTAGCACTCAGCGCTATTCCCTCATTGTTCAATGCTCTCTTTTTCCATTGCCTTTTTCGTCGGCTTCTGGCTTTACCCGCTTCCCGCATTACATGGCCAGAAATGTCCCCGATCTAACACGCATTAGACCTGTCCAGTGTCCACGACCTGGCCATTCCCATGCTTTTCCTTATCGTCTCCCAAACACGGACTTAACCTGCCACTTGGTCTTAACTACGCTTAACTTATGTCTTATCTTGACGAGCTGTTGATCTTATAGCAGGCTCCCCAACCATTCCTAGAGCCAAGAGTTGTCTTCCGCTACCCTACCCTGCTCCACTCACCTATCAGAATACCACCACCTGCGCTGACCCGTCTCGTCATCCACAGTGTCCACAGTGCATCGTGTGGACGCCGCCCAGCGGTGGCTGACCGAGGACAACAGCGCGCTCTCGGCCGAGTCGTGTCGGCTGTATGCCTCACCGGACGTGTCGGCGGGCTATGTGCGGGTGCCGCCCGGCGGTCGGAAGGCCGACGCCGTTGTGCACTGGCAGTCGGTGGTGAGTTCCGGAGCGACTCTCTGTCTCACATACACACTCACTTTCTCCCTCTCACTCTCTCTCTCTCCCTCTCTCTCTCTCTCTCTCTCTCTCTCTCTCTCTCTCTCTCTCTCTCTCTCTCTCTCTCTCTCTCTCTCTCTCTCTCTCTCTCTCTCTCTCTCTCTCTCTCTCTCTCTCTCTCTCTCTCTCTCTCTCTCTCTCTCTCTCTCTCTCTCTCTCTCTCTCTCTCTCTCTCTCTCTCTCTCTCTCTCTCTCTTCCCATTTTTGTTTTCGCTATTTTGTCTCATTTATTCAGGATGTACTGGCACAGCATTGCTGGAATAGTCGTTTTGTCTCCTGGTCCTGGCGAATAAAATCTACCCGGAAAACTGACCCGTTGTTAACACTACCAACCGCAACACTACAACATTATACGCTGGGACTGCTAAGATCAGGTGCTCTGGTTGGCCGCGGATGGTCCCTTTGTCTGTGTATCGGTGCTGACCACCCCTGTGTCTAGTGTATATCAATGTCGACGGCCCTTCCGTCTGTATATTGATACTGACGACTCCGTCTGTGTCATCCTCCGGCAGCACGCGGTGGTGATGTCTGGCGAGGGGGAGCTGGTGCTCTCGGACTCGCTCGGTCAGCTGGTCAGCAGCCACCCGCTCCGCCAGCAGGACGTGTTCAGCGTCGGACCCGGTAAGTGACGAACTCGGTCTGTGTCGGGTTTGCTCTCAGTGTGGAACAAGTTCATTACCAGCCCCCTACTGTACTAACGATGTCCTTATATGGCCCTCGTTCCTCACCTGTGACGCCTATCCTGACCCGCTTCTGATTGGTGCCATGATATGACGTGTAGGTACTTATATGACGTATGTGTGGCGTATGATGTATAGACGACCGATGCTGCGCGGCCGGGCAGTCGAATTGGGTTCACCGTCTCGAGCAGATCGGTCACTTCTATTATTCTCGGCTCATCATTTGGCATCTTTGGAACAATATAGCCGGAAAGTGAATGTTTATTTCACGACGCGAACTTAAGACTCGACTATCACGAACAATATTACACAGTGGCTGTGACCTGAGTGCGGGTGTGTTGGCCGGCAGGCTGGTCGGATGGCGCTCTCAGAACGATATGATGATGATCTGTGGCTTCACCTAGGGTTCTGCGTCCACTGTCCAGTCTGACTCAGGTATATGTCTCGTTTAACTAATCTCTGTTCCGTCCTACAGGTGCCGTGTACCGCGTGGAGAACACTGGCTCGGTCGAGATGCTGCTCTTCATCACCATGTACCACATACGCAGCGGGCTGCAGTTCTACCAGCCGCCGGCGGCCGCGTGCCCCGGGCTGCCGGGCGCGCGTCCTCCCGCGCCGCTGTGAGACGCGACTGAGCACCGGCGAAACACGGTGGGACACCGTATTTACGTACCAATCTCTCTCTGTAGTCTGTTGTATATATTTGATGCGTGAGCGCGTGAGCTCTTCGTTTCTGCTTTGGAGGAGTGCTGTGGAATGGGCCGCCGCTAGAACATGTCGAGCACACGTATTGCTAGAATTGATGCGTGTCAGTAGCGGATGAACGCTTTTGAAATTTCGATTACGTTGGTAGAATTCGGCTTCTGCTTGACGCCTTGAATCTGCTCAATAGATGCTTTCTCGTAGCATGTTCAACGGCATTATAGTGATGTAGTGTACAATGTTAAGTATTTTGTAACCAAGCTGACTCGAGGCGTGGACCAATGACGCAACTAGTTACTTTCATACGATTTGCTAGCAATGTTTGGCATTAGCGTCCTGACGTGTTAGCGGTGTTGTACATACCCTCGGACTTCCCTCTGGCACACATTGGGACCCCGATCAGCGGGTTGGACGTGGTGCCCAGCCGTTCATTCGCGCTAGAGGAGCACCATCGGTCTCCTAGCCTCCTCTCGCAGCGGACATGGTCTCTAGCGGATACTGCTCGGAGCTCTAGTCCGCCGGTCTGCCGCCAGGTGGCAGGCGCGGCAGACTGGTGCCGAGCCGTGCCGCTTACTGCGATGATGATACTAAAATTGCTGCTGAGGTCACTATCCTCGGTCTCAGCAGATGTGGATATACGAACTTCGTGGAGATGTCTCAATATATGATGAAAGTACATTTGGTATGTTACGTTCGCTCCACTACCGTAGAACTCAACTCTTTCAATATCGGCCGTGCCGTTTTCATAACAAAATCACGTCCACGGAGTGCTGTTGGCGACTAGCGCCGATGGCCTGCCACTGGAGGGGGAGAAGGCATTATACGCTCCGCCACATTCGGTTTTTCAGTGTTGCTCTCGTAGCGAGAATAAATGGACGTTCGAAGAACTGTCACCTAAGGGAAATTCTCGAAACACTGCTGTTGGTCGAGTTGGATCCTGGATGGAGAAAAAGGATTGTTTTGCTTTTGAAAAGACTTGCTTTGGTACTAATGCAAACACGCACATGCATCGTGATTTGATATCAATAGCATTCACACCCACGTATCACGTATGATTTCTTATTGCATGCCATTTGCCGACGCCTGTCGTATGCTGCGTTGGTCTGCTATTTGTTGTATGCCCTGTGAACTCCTCGTCATTGGCAACAAGCTGCGTATGTGTAGTGTGTATGCGCTACATATTTAACCCTCGACGTCAATCAACCTCTAGCTACCAGTGTCAATCCACATCACACTCAAACAAAGCCCACCGAACACCCATACCTGGGCGCATCGTGCGTCTTTTGTCCGTCAGCAGAAGTCGGCCAGCCCTCTCTGGTGATTATTTACCGCGCCCCAGCCGGCTTTGTTACCCGGCTAGCATAAAGGACCCACACCGCCGCGCTGGTACCTGCCCCTCGTTGGTACGGGCACCTTCCCACGTGGTCCAGCTAAAAATACCTGCTGCACTCGCGGGCCGCGTGCGTGTGTTGTGACGCCGTCTGAAAACCCACAAGGTCAGAGCGTGGTGAAACACCGCGGCTATTCGACGCATATTGGAAACGCCTAGGCTTCGTGCAAATGCGGTCAGTATGGAATATGGAACCACTGGTGGATCCAGAAAGGCGATCTTGTATGCTGCGGAGGCATACCCCTAAAAAATTTTCTCCAATTTTCAAAAACATCGTATTTCGATCCCTTACGCATTACGCGCACTACTGTGCACTTAAAAGCAAACTTTTTCTGATAAAAGTTGTTTGGTTTTCGTTCTATTCTCGTAAAAACGCAAATTGTTATCCATTTCGGGCGGTGTGTGTGTTGGGGGGGGGGGGGGAGGCAGTTGCCCCCCCCGCCCCCCCCAGGATCCGCCAGTGTAGGGAACTAGCCTTAGGACTTATAATTGCCGACTGGCAGTGGCATCGGATTCCAGCGTGCACGTCGCACTCAGGGCTGGGAAAAATGCTGAATCTGCTACATACCAGATATTACGAGAAACTCTTTATTAGCTACATTGCCACAAATGTTCCTCACATCATTTCTGCTAGAGAAAATGATTTTACAAGTAATCAAAATTCTGGACAGCTTTCCACTTTCATTTTCTATCTATTCTCAAATTGAGCTTTGAATGTTTTTATTTAGTTGGTTGCGCTTAAACAAAAACAGATACAGTGTCTTGCTTATGCCCCCTGTGAATGTTCTTTTTCTTATTTTTTACTCTTTGTAGGTACCTACTCACTACTCAGTTAGAAAAAGCATACAAATATCAAAATAAGGTGCTGTAGGGCTTTCTCAGGGCAAGTTCCAGCACCACCTGAGAGCACCAGAGAGCTCCAGTGAGCCCTAGAATTTTCCTATCAGCATTCCAGCAACTTCAGGATTCAGATGGTATCAGCCTACTCAGGCAGAAAGTATTTGAAAGAAATCAGGTTGATTTGGCTGCTCAGTCTGGTCAACAATTTACAATCATTGTCCATGCCGAACCCGCTGTACAAAAGTTGCCAGTTGCCACCAATCAAGGTGATACAATAATTGAACATGTAAAAAAAGTAAATAAAAAATTCTTTTCTGGGCGTTACTTGATCAATATTTCAATCAGATCTCACCTTCTGCGCAAATTCAATCATAGGTATCTCCCTATATCTTCACACATCTTGCTTTGCGTGCTGGGCGGCTACCTTGCTCTTTAACTGTGTACTGCACGCCGCTTTAGGGACAGTTGTCATTGCAACACTTGAAATTAGGCCTGGAATATCCCACTTCCCTAAAATAGAGGCAAAATAAAAGCTAAAATAGCTGAAATAATTCAAAAACACCCAGAAACACTCATCAAACTCAACTGAACTATCCACGCGAAACGACAACTAGAATTGTCTCTAATGCGCCAGAAACAATGCATCAACAAAATACACAAACAGCAATGACGTAATTTGCATATTTTTGACAAGATTTCTTAATAAAACTTACAAAAAATGTTTATTAGTTCTTTAAAACTCTAATTTGGTTCAAATGAGTATGGTTTTAACAATAAAATACATAAAAAACTGAATAAAATTGTGTATGACATCATCAAAAAGGATTAAAGACGTTGCAGGACACTGTATCATAAAAGATGGCTTTTTAGAGATGCCATGGGCAGAATGAGTTGATTCTTTTCGTATTTTTATTGATCATTGAACAATGCCCTTTTAAAAACAATTTGTTTTGTTTCGTAAATATGTCATTTGAATATTTCACAAATAATGAAACTTCTTTTTGCAATATTCATAAGAAAGATAGCGCATAAAAAGGCGTAGCAGATACCTTTTGTTACACGACTCAGAGTATGAAGAATTAGTGATGCTACAATGGAAACTGCTACAAAGAGCCGCCAGATTAGTCATAAAATGGAGCACAAAGCTGACGTTTTGAACTTGTGTTAGTCTTACAGATGTTTTGTTCTTATTCGCCGACGAGATCACTGGCTGGTGGTACCTTTATTTTAAAAATGTGCGAATTTTGATGTTTTTATTGTATTTTTCTTTATGATGTACGGAAGAGAGAAATGTTGATTTTGCTACAATTGATGGAACAATAAAGCGGTATCTGCTACCTACTGGGGTATGAAAGTATGAGAGATTTCCCAGCCCTGGCACTCACTATTTTATATGATAAGCCTTACCTGTTTTCTACATATTCCTACTGTCTGAGGAGCTAGATATACCTAACCCACTCACTTACCTTCTCACCCCCCAATTATGCTATGGTCCTGTCAATTCGGTACGCCTTGCGGTAGAAAAACAAACGTATGCGACACTGCGAGGAGCAGTGATTGGTACTCAGTTGTCTCGGGGTAACCGCCAACCGGTGGACCTCTCTGAGGTCACCTTCATGACCGGAAGTCCGGGGCCGGACTCCGGTGTTTGGTAAATAGCCGGCAAAAGTGGTCAAAGTGCTATTATTTTTACACTGCTGGTCGCATCGCGTTTGTCTCGGACAGCCCTGTCGAATGCTAATGTCAGCTTGGGTGTTGACCTCAGGTCAAAGTCAGTTCAAAGCCGGTCAGATCGGAACATTGACCAAGGGAACTGGGAAGTTGTGTTTAGGTATCATGTTGCGGGCAAGTTTTTCACATTACTGATTCGGGAAATACCCATTCATTCTTAATTCATTCGTGCCTTTTGTGATTTTAACAAGCATTGGTCGGAAGTTGTTAACGAAAAAATCTGATGCTTTTAAATCACTGGGGCTCAAAAGAATTGCGATGACTCAGGACAGCCCCCGAACTCGGGTGCGCTACTGGTAATGGAATTTCGTGCAGTGGCACCGCCAAGACTACTTTGCTAAAAGGTACCGTACCTCATATCTGTCGTCTTCAAAGGGATATGGCCGGGCTACCGCATGGGGCTGTGCGAACCGCCCAATTCGGGATGAAAAAGGCATGCGCTCAAATCTCGCAGACATTGCTTACAAAGGCGAAGAGTGCCTAGCTCGTTAGTTGTTACCCGCATGTCACTCCAGATACCATTTCTTCGGTTGAAAATCACAGCCCACAATTTTGCAATTATTGCTTATTATCATTGCCGTTGTTGCGAAACAAAGGTGCCGTTCCATTGTCGACAACGTACGAAGCCGCCCTGTCCGCTCTGAACGGGCTCAAACAGCTCCGTCGCGGACGACGCTGCTTCATCGCTGGCGACGCGGCCGCCCTGGCTCGGTGCCAACGTCGTGTCACGTGGGCCGCCCCGGTCGGCGATCTGCGCAATTCGCCATGCGCCTTTAGCGAACATCGTGCCGCCGCTGCTGCGTGGCCGTCGGCCTCGACAGTTGGAGTCTCGAACCCGGGAGGAGAGCAACGTCTCGCTGGTCTTATCGGACAAAGGTGAGTGGGAATGGGGGTTAGGCTCGGTGGGAATTCGAGTAACCATAAGAGGTCAGGTTGTTGACATGGTCACATGCCACGGAAGTCGTTAAACTTGTTTAAAGGGAATGTTTTTGTTGGTTTTGTTAGATAAAGCTCAGTTTTCTTGATGTCCGGGTTCCTGTGCTTACAGGCCTTTGTCTTATGCTTTTGTAAACGTGAGCACTCCACTACCTAAAAGACGGTCATAAAAAGCGTGGACTCTCCCGTCCGATTTTCATTCACTTGTTCATATTATCGAAGAACGTTTCCATCACTTCAATAAGAAGATGGGTAACTACATGACAATGTCATGCGATGATGTGGCTATCTTACAGATTAGCCTAGTCGCCAACCATTTGTGATGTGCCTAGCACTTATATTTAAAACGTAACAAATCGAAATATTTATACACGTGTTTAATGAACAAGGACAGCCGGGGTTCATGGTGTAAAGTCGATAAACCTGCTGTCAATATCAAGCTGTTTGTGTATTTATGGTGCGTTGCTGCACTTGTTCGCCGAATTGCATTGTCACGTACGAATGAATTGCCTGAAAACCTGAGGCTTCCGTCAAAAAGCTGAGCCGTCTGTCGGTGATGATTTGATGTCAAATGTTTACCTTCGTCCTTCACCTTGTCATTGACGGATAGACGGGCGGAAATACTGTGACCTTTTCCTTCGGAAGATGCAACTGCGTAAATCCCTTTAGTAGGGCGAAACTGTCGTAGGTTTTTACTCGGAGAGACTATATTCAGGTGCCGTCCTGGGTTTCCGCGCTGGACGCAGTCAGCTACTCCCGAAATGTCGCCGCGGGTCTCGTG